AATTACAGTCTAAACAAATTATACTGTACACAATTACAGTGTTATACCATAAACCACATTTGCAGTACAGTGATACTATAAAACTTAATCACGGTAAGTCTTTCTAACTGTAAACCACATTTACAGTAAAGCTGTTATACTGTAATATATGTTTACAGTAAAGTGGTTGAACTGTAAAACATCACAACAGTAAAGATTCTGTAGATCAGTAATTACAGTAACTTACTGGCAATAGTGTTGCCAGTAAGTTAATGTAAAAATACAATAAAATGTCTAACAGTGAATAGTTTATTCTCTGGGTAAAAGAAAAAAACAATCTTTAAAATTCTGTCTAAGAAATTTACTACAAGCACCAGTAAATCTTAAAGAGTATGTGGTCTGCTGTCTTGGGTTGCAATAGCAGATGGTATGGAGAACGGTGTAGGAACCAAATGTAGGCACTTGAGGATGAGAGTGGTATTAAACAAAAGGCGAGTCGTTTATTAGTGGCTGGAAGACATTATACAATAAAGGTAAAATAAGAACTGAGACTGACTAAAACTAAATCTCTCTCTCTCTCTCTCTCTCTCTCTCTCTCTCTCTCTCTCTCTCTCTCTCTCTCTCTCTCACAGGATGCTCTAACTGTAAGAGCAGATGTTAATAACAGTGTACAAGCTGAAGTGCAGTCAACCCAAACACTGATTTACAAGTCGCCAAAGTGCTTGCTCATAGGGGGTCATGTGATTATTGGGTTTTCTCAGATTTCTTTGTGTTATTGTAGGATCTACTTACAATATAAAGCACCTAGAGGTGACTGTTGTTGTGATCTGGTACTAAATGTAAATTTTTTTTTTTTAAATTTAATTTTTAAATGAATTAATCACAAAAGTACTCACATTTAATCTCTCACACTGATTCATATAACTAGTAAAGTGAGTTAAACTTGGAAAGAAAAAGAAGTCTGAAACTTACCAGTGACCCACTCAGAGAATTCAGGCAGGTTTTTCTTCAAGCCTGTTTTTTGTGTTGTCATCTCATTGCAGTCAGGAAACACTGCAAATTAAATATTAAAAACTCCTTTCTACATATTTCTTAGGAATCAAACCAGTTTATAGTCATAAGTAAAGAAGTCTTTGTCTTTATTGCCAGATTCAAGATTCAAATCAGTTAAACTCACTCTGAGGTGGCAGTAATCCATAGCTGCCGCTGCGTTTCAGTGGCTTCAGAGGTGACCATAGTCCATGGATACGATTCAGGCGTGATACTGGCCAATCACCTGTAAAAGACAGAAATATGTCAATTACATGTTTTTTATAAAGGGCAATGGGTTAGGAGGTTGGCGTCTGTTTTCCTGTGATAGAGAGAAGCTTTGAATACTCGAATACCTCTGTTGTACAGACACAGCTTTAACTGTTTGGTTTGAAATCGGTCTGTGGTTACTTATTACTGAGGCATCTACATCAGAATCAGAGTACTTTATTGATCCCTAGGGGAAATTATTAGGCTTTTTTTTAAAGGGTTTGATTGCAGAAGTTTTCAAGGCATTTAGAAAATGCCCCAGATATAGAAATGTATTAACTATTTGCAATTTTAATGCATAAATGGATAAGAGCGCGATGGTAAAGTGGAAACTGCATCCAGGACAGAAACAGCTGCATTAGAATCAGAATCAGAATCAAAAATACTTTATTAATCCCAAAGGAAACTATGGGTTACAGCAGGCAGGATGCTAGTTCCTGCATGTGCACTCACAAAGAAACCCTCTGACCAAAGATACTTTACACAAACATCACACTGGGGAGACAGGTCAGAGACTAGGCCAGGGGTCGGCAACCTGTGGCTCCACGTGGTTTGGGAAAATAAATTAGAAGTATTTAGCTGAAGTGTATTTTATTTATGTTAGTTCTTTTTTAACTTGTAGTTCTAAATTGGAAGATTATTGTGATATTGAAATATAAAAATAAAATTATATTCTATTATTTTTTCATCGC